TTAAGTACATCTTTATTTTTTAGGGATTAAAAAGGCAGAAGCAAGATAAGAGAGGAGTACAGAGTTCTCTGTTATCCCATGTTCTGTTCTGTTAATGAATATTAGGTACATATGAATACGATTGCACTAGATACAGAAAGACATGATAAATTCTGAATTCTTGACATCTTCTAGATTTAAATGCTGTAGTGTTGTATATCAAAATTGGTTTGTAAAGGGCCTATGCAAAACTAGCTTCGCATATAGGTAACATTGAAAAAAAAATAAATATCTAGTTAGATCTCACTTCTTCTGCAAGACAGGAAAGAGAATGTCCAAGGAATAGAAATACTTTTCTTCTAGAACATTGTAGTGATTTCTTTTTAGGTTACCATCAGGCATTGTATTTCATTTCAGTGTCGTCACTGAAATATTAAAACCTAATTTTTGAGAGAATATAGTTGAGAAAATGAGATTGTATCCAAGGAGGAGCATTTCACATAAGTCTTATGAATATCGTCTCACTTTATAAATGTGGATTTTTTTCATATTGATGAAAGAAACACTGTCTTTTGTATCTGGCTTACTATTCACATGGCTTAGTCCTCAACTGTGGCATGGCACGCAAATGTGCTATGCAGTAGAATAGCTACATTTCAAAAAGTTACCTTCAATCCCTTTTTACAGTGTTCTTAAGCCAGCTTTTTGGTAGAGGTTTTTTTTTTTTTAGTTTGACTCTACTCCCAAGACATCAGTCCAATAAAATTGTTTGTGATAAATAGAGATTAAAATATGAAAGGAATCACATGAGTAAGTAGATGTTAAGTCCAAAACAAAATAAATTTTTTCCTATTTCATTGCTGCATTTAATAAAACTATAGCTCAGCGTGTAAAACGGTTTGCTTTTTATGCTTCTGTTTATCTTGGTGTTTCTGGAAAAATGATTCAAATTCTTCTTGGTCAAATACGCAGTATAATAATTCACTCTATTCTGTACTGTTATGTTCTGATGATTCCCAATGTAGTATTGTTCTGATGCAGGTTTAAGCTTATTGTGGGCTTGTAAAATAGCAGTCAAAACGTATTTCAGAAATTCTTTTGCTGACAGTAACATAACTAACAGCTTATATTAACAAAGAAAACCTTAGTTTGAAACCTGCACTGTTCTTTCCATCTAAGTCTTAGCATTCTTAGAAGACTTAATTTTGCATTTAACAAAGTTATGTAAAGTAGTGCAGGTGAAAAGTCAAATAGGTTAAAAACTACTGCTCATATTTAGGAGAATAGTGACTGCCATAACCATTACAAATAAAATAAAAACTATTAATTCGAAGAGTTGGCTTATGTTTAAAGTACAAATAGTGGCACCAGTTTCAAATGCTATCAGGTGAAGATGACTATACGAACTTTTCCCTGGTTCAAGGCTGACCATGATCCTAGTAGAAATTTAGTCATATCATATATACCATATCTTCACTTGATACAACTTACTTTGCTTGTAGCTATTTAAACCCCCACAAACCATGCATCTTTTGATGTAGTTCATTGAGAAACTATAATGGTTAACGTTTTATGCTGTAGATGATACTTAAAATGTACACAGTCACTCTTACTTAAGTGTGTCATCCCAATACAAACAAAGCTTCAAACGATCCTACCTAAAAGCATCCTTGTGTTGGTGGTAACAAATATATTTAACCTCATACAGTGAGCTATGTTCTACTAAAAAGGACCTGCTTTTTAGGTTAGAAGTGTCTAGGTTCAGCAAGTTCATAAAAGTTACTTCATTGCATGTTCTGAAATAATTCTCAGCTTAACTTTCTGTCCTTTTTCCACTTTTCTTTTTGGTCCTTACCTCAGTTTTCTCTACTTTCTCATTCTCTGATCTGTTTGAGCAATTCCCCTAATATTTAAAGACTAAGTGTGGTGGGCTCTCCATTAAATTGTGCTCGAAGTCCTTAACTGTTCTGTGCTGTCAGGAAAATGTAAATCTAGCTTGGGAATTCATGCTGGCAAGGCATAAGTTTGTTTTAACTTTGAGCATGTTGGCCAACCAATGGATAGATTGGGTCCTAAGACTTTCAGACCTTTGACAGGAAAGCAAACACACTGTACAGAGGGGCAGGCAGAGAATTTTGTTTGGTTTGGATTAGCTATGTCCTGACCTTTCATTGAGGACATCAGCATTTGACAAAGTCATTACTGTAGCATGCTGACTCTTCTGCACAAGTACATCTGCTGTACTTTGTCCAAGGTTTGGAACAAATTCTTGTTAACATGATTAGAAATAAAAGTTTAACACCTTAATATCAGAAGAGGAATTATCAATGTGAAACCTTTTCTTATGAAGCATAAGTCAAATGTGTAGAGGCGTTCATTCCTCAGCACTGTCTTGAGTGTAGTGAGACACTGATGTTATTAAATAAACCTGCTGTTTTCATCATGTTAAATACAATGACAATTAAGGGTCATTTAAGGTGTCTTAATGATTTGCTTAAAAAATGATCCATACTGAAATTCTCACATGTAATACTGAGGATTTCTCTTCATCCATGCTAAGCTTAGCAAGCAGCTGGGTGCGAGATAAAGCACTTGTCACTTTCTGTTGATAAACACAAACAAGTATCCAGTTGGAACAGCCACACAGTTACACTGATTTAGCTGAGCTTGGTTGGAGCTGACCACAGGATTCACAATTCATGGATGGAATTCAAGCAGAATTTCACGTTGGGGTGAGGGACCCTGATCAGTTTGCCTAAGGTAGACATTGCACTAAATTGTCTCTTCTGCAGCATGTTTTTTTGTACTCTTGCCTGAAGCCAATGAACCATATTGATGATTTTTATTTAAATTGTTATGTCATATTCTTAACCAGTGCCATGCTGCTTTGGAAGTAATTTACAGCAGTACACTGATGATTATGAGTTTTCTGAAATGGTTTCGTTTGATTTCATGATGAAGTTGGTCACCTGAATCAGGTTTGAATCTCCTATTACTCCAACAGAAGGAGATCTTATAATGTATTTCTAAAGCCTGAAAAACTATGCAATAACTTACAGTTGTTAACATGACTGATTTCAATATTCTAATAGTAACCCATACAGTGTGTCTTGCATCCAGGTGGTATCCTGTAGAGTCAGGAGTTTTAGCACTAATAACAAATGGTAGGGGTTGCTCATTACATTTTTTAAACCCTCTATCTGTGAGTTTAGGAATGATGAAAGAAGTATCTTTATCATGGAACTGTTTGAAGTAGTTTGCAGCTTACTCCAGTTCTCAGTATTTACAGTTTTTATACACTACAGATAGCTCATGAAATAAAGTAGACATGATCACAACAAGCAGGAATTGCAGTGATCTAGTAGCTGTTGAAGTGATCTCAGATACTGCTCCTGAAAAAGTTGGGCCCTCAGGAAGGCAAAAGTGAGATTCAGGAGTGGAAACTTAAAGGAAGATGAAAGATGCTCATTGCTGTGGTACATACAATCAAGAAGGCAAGAAAGGTTTTGGAGGAAAAGTCACCTGTGCATTTGGTAGAAACATCTGTTCTATAGTTCTTTCTATCAGATCACCAACCTTTTAAAAAACAAATGTAATAAAATATTTAAAGTTCTTGTAGACAAAAATACTGGTCCAAATTTCTTCAAGTATTTTGATGTAGCTGGTACTTAGCCTTGAACATATAGCCAGTAACTTCCCCTGGCTGGTAACAGTTTCTTAAATGCTTCCTTCTTACTGGTGTGACCAGAACTGCTTAGTCTTAAATAATTCAGTGCTTACCTTCTGCGCAAGCCTGTTCTGTAGGAAGGCATGTGTTACTGAATGTGTCACAGAATCCAGCTTTGGCTGCTGTCTTTCAAAACATAACCAAGAAGGTCACAAAGGGATTCTAATATTCATTCAGGCATTAGAAAAGCGGGAAGCTGGACCTATATCTTTAGGATCGAGCCCTGATGACCATTCCATAGGCTGTTTTGGGATGTTGAGAAAACTGCCAGCCTGCTTCCAGCTCCAAATACTGTTCAGGCAGTTCTCTCAAATACAAAATGCGTCAACTAGTCCTTTGAACAGAGACTAGAATTTCAGTGCAGCCTTAACTTGACCTATGGAGAGCAATTGCTACTTCTATTTGTAATGAAAAACTGTTGCATTTTACCTACTTGTACAATGCTTTTAATTTTTGGGGTGAGTTAGAAAAAACCAAAAATACAGCTGTTTCAGGAGCCATAATTTAAAACATCACTGCCATGTGCCCAGGCCACCTTATGGTGGCTGTGACTTTGTGCACTTAATCTTATCCATAGAACTGGATTATGTAGTTTTCAATTATGGCAAATGTAGAGTACAACCACCTGAACTGAAAGGAAATTAAGTTATACTGCTCATGAGAAGTACAATGGGGGGTGGAAAGTTGCAGCAGCATTTGATTTACAGGGTGTAGTTACAGCTGCGTAAAATATCCACCATGTCAGGGTTTCTGGAGTGTCCTTGAGCACCACTTACTACTTTTGTATGAAACAAGTGATCCCAACTCTTACCGCCCTCCCCCCCCCCAATTTTCAAACTACACATCCAAATTATTTAAGGCCCAGTTATTTATGGCTGCCGCCCACAGCATTCAGGAGGAAGAGTTCATTGAAGTCTTCTTGCTCTGACCCAAGTGTCAGGGATTCTCTGCTTCTAACGCTACTAAGGTAGAGCCTGAGATAGTCAGACTATGTGTGGAAAAACAAGCAGCAATTTGGAACAAGTACCAGCACAGAAAAACTTACGATAGCTATCAGTTCATGTGGTGGAGAAATCAGAAAGGAGGCTTCTATTTTCCTTGCTAAGCCCTGACCCAAAGTTGTAGCTGAAAAATGAGTGGGCCAACAATGCGTTTTTAGCTCATTGTCACAGGTATTCATACCAGATAAATATACTTTGTAACATATCCTTGTAATGACTGGCAGTATTCCTGCCTGATGTGACAATTGGTACATTTGCAAGTGTTATATACCTTGATTGTTTAATCTTTATTTATGCAGGGACTCAAACCAATAGTTTCCACTGAATCCCCAGCTCTGATTTTTGGGACAACAAGTAAACTTTCTTCAGATTTACCAGCAACTGATTCTTTCTTGGGTAAAAACAAGGTGCCAGACCTACAGAAACTTTTTCAGGTAACGACAACTTTGAGAGTAACATAAAGAAAACTGGAGAGTGGGACATATCTTTCCTTATTTTATAGTGGCTAACTACTATTGTCATTCTGCAGTACCAAAATTTAGAAAAGTCTAGTTAAGAAGGTGTCAAGTACAGTATAACCTGTATTCTTTTGCTGTAATACAAGGTATATATGTCTGTACAGGAGATCAATACAGAAAGTCGAGTACATTGTATTTCTTTTCGCTGGCTTCGGAAGATGCTTATTATATTATTTGGTTATTGGAAACACTTTCTGTCTGCGAATCTAAGCTTATGCCATAAAGCAGATCTGGAGGACCAAAGCAGATCATTACTGTTTTGTACATAATAATTTGAATATTACTGAAGCTGTTTATAATGCAGTATAAGAAGAGCATAGTGAAGTTTTCAAAGCTAGTTTGTTCGCTGTGCAATATCTAAGTGTACTGGGACTTTTCATAAAACAAATCAGTTAAGCATTTTTTTTTTAAAACATCAAGAATGTGCATTATATGATGTACCCTTTTCTCTCTTACATGCCACTTGCATTTGGAATGTGTCAGTCTGACTTGGTGAATAACCTTTTATACATATCTTTTCACGTTCTTTTGTTAGTGACACTTTTTCCATCCAGGTCCTCTTTAGAAATATTTCCATATATATTCTTTCTGCCTGCACTTAACAGCTTTGGCTAATAAAATTAACTTGCCTTTGCATTTGTCTTGCTAAATGAAAAACACAGAATACACTTGATTGTAGATATCCTATTTGTCAGGAGGTTTCCCTCATGGAAATCTCTTAATCTACCTGAGGTAACTTGTCCTTTGTGGCCTTAGTATGGGTGTTCATTTCTTTTTATTTGTTTGTTTTCTTTTTAAACTCTTCCCACAGAAAGCAGATGGACTGCCAGTACACCTGAAACGAGGAGTTCCAGATAAGCTGCTTTATCGGACCACTATGGCTCTAACAATAGGCGGGACTATCTACTGTCTAGTAGCACTGTACATGGCCTCACAACCAAGAAACCAAAAGTAAACGAACCACAACTGTTGGGACTCGTGACACTTCTCTGAAGGACCTCCTGCATGTGTCTCTTTGCACTTGCTTTAATTCTGTCATCGTATAGAGTTCATTATTCAGATCAAATTTCTTGGAGAAAGTGTTTTTAAATTGGTTGCCTTATGTGTTCTAGAAATCAATATAAACAGCCTTAAAGACATCATCTTAACATACGGTTGTAGCTTTGCATTTGTTGTCTTGCAGGAGTGTACAAACAGTTGGAGAAAGTTAAGCTTTTCCTTCCTTCCCTCCCCCAACTTAAACAATGTTAGAGATAAGAGAGGACAAATACTTTGTGGGTTATGCTCCACATTCCTTAGTGGGAGGATGTTGCTGGTTTCCAAAACAGTAAAAGCAAGTCATTTAATTATGATAACATACTGAGAATGCATTTCTGTCATACACAGCTCATTTTACGTAAGCAGGTGGCAGTGGAACTTTTCCAAATGCTGGTATAGTAAGTATTTGTACCTCTGGTGGTAGGACAAGGAGCTTATCTCCTTGGAGCATTTAAAGTGGATTTAATCCATAATATTAGCATCACTGTATGCAGCAGAGTGCACCAGTATTGTAGCATCATTTATGCCAGTTTTCAGACTTTAATTTGTCAAACTTATCTTATTATGCAATAAATACCTACATGAATAATAACACAGGCAAGTCTTGAAAGTTTCAGACCACTTCAGCTGGCCTGCTAGTGAAATAAACATATTGGTACACCTTTGTTTAAGTTCAACTTGTAGATCTCAAACCAGACAATTGATTCGGGTACCTTACTGTAATCTTTTATGAGATGTTAATCCTCTTAAGACCTCTCAGAACTCATTTGGTGTTTAACTATAATTTTTGGTGAAACAGGTCACTGTCATAGCTCAGCTGCATATCATTGTCAATGTATGCACATATCTATTTATGTACACACTTATACACACACATTTCCTTTGCTGTGTGGGTAGAAGAGAGAGAAACCAATAAAACCCTTTATTCAGTCTTTTTCTTTCCCTTGTAGTATCATAGCCTTGAACTGCAAGTTTCACACGAGTCTTCACAAAAAGCATCCTCTAATTTGATAGATCCTCCTTTGTCTATGTATTCACTCTTAGTCACCCACGCTCTGGATAAGCATGGCTTCACTGGCCTCTGTTAAAGACTGATCTCTCCCAGAACTGTGCAGAAATCACCTTCCATGTAAACAAGGAAAACAGTTGATAAAAGAACCTAAAATTCCAATTTTTGCAATCTTTCAGTAAAAACATTCTGATTTTTTTTTCCAGTCAAGTTCTATCAAAGCTTTATTACAGTTCCATAGGAAAGAAAATAGCTGCTTGTACTGTGATCTCAGGTTTCAGTCAATGTTGGTATTTCAGCATGGGAGATAGTAAGTCACTGGAAGAGAAATTTGTAAGGACAGCAAGACTCAAAGAATAGCAGAGAATAATTAAGTTCTCCAGGAACGAACAGCTGTGTTGCCTCTACTGGTAAAATATTTTATCCCCAGTAGCCCATACTTCCATGGCCTAAGAATCTTGTGCTGTAGGCTGTTAAATCCTATTAAAAAAAAAACCACAAAAACCACAAAAACACACCAAAAAAAACCCTCACACAAAAAAAAAAAGGAAAGGAAAAGAAAAAGAAAGCAGCATGGTAGGTTATTGCCTGTCTTCCCTGCATATCATGTATTAAGCACTGCCTACAAGAGTCTTCTAATAAAGGATACTTTGCACACAGACTTGACAGGTAGATTTTTACGAGGATGAGTTTTGCTCAGAGAATTTCTATGGGTTTTTTATGTTTTTTAGAAAACTATTTTTAGAGTTCACAACTTTCTGCTTGTTGCTAAGGCAGGTGTGGATAAAGCAACTAAACTGTTATCCCATAGCTCATTAACCAGTGGAAATAGTCTTCCAAGTACTTGTGGAAAGAATAACAACAGATTTATCATGTAGGTCCAACTTTCTTAAAGGAAACTCAACTAAGAGATTGGGTTCAGGTATTACTATGGGTGATTCGCATATGGATCTCAGAATTGTCTTCCTGTTGCCCCAGGTCTAGCTTTTTCCAGCTCTTTGTCAGCAGCTAAAAATATGTGTGCGAAAGGGAAAAGAAAACCCCATCAAATTTTGCAAATAACCAGATAATCCATTGTTTTCTTTGTTTTTGCAGTGTTTGGATTTAAAAGAAAAACCACCACCCTATTTTCACTTTGCCCTTCTCAAAAAAGCTGACCCAGTTGAAGCAGGATTAGAATGCTGCTTCAGCTTGTCAGATTCACATTCCTAGTTCAGTTGGAGGTTAAAGAACAACGAGGCATTGCTTGTCTGCAGCCGTTGGGCAGGGCTCCAGTTGTGAGAGAAAGAAGAGGCTGTTTTTCTATATTTCCACAGCAATTCCCACATTTTTCTTTCCTGAAGAACAGGAAAACTTGCAAGCTGTAATCAAGGTTAGCCTGCAGCAGCAAAATCTTGCCCCTTTTCTCAATTAGTTTTGAGATTATCTTAAAGAAATTACAACATGGTAAATCCGTTTTCTTCCTAGAATAAAAAGCTCTGTTAAGTATCTATTTAAAAATACTTCAGATGCTGGACTTCTATGAGGATTCAGGAGGGTTTAAGTGTTTTTAATTACTGTTTGTGGTAGACTTAATCTTATTCTTAAGTCCTCGAGAACACCCTTACCTTTAAAAGGAATAGTCTGTCCCTGCCCTGATGTTAAATAAGGTCTTAAGTAAGGAGAACCAGGAGTGCAGTGTCAAGAAAGCTACTTCAGTATTTTGAGTTGTCATCCCCAGAAGTAAGAATCTGACTTGGGTACTACAACTTCATTGTATGTGTGTTATGTTCTGGATTTTTTTTTTAAAGAGCTCAGTTTTGTCTTGCAAATTATGCAACCTATCAGCACTGAGAAAACAAGATGCATTTTTAAGTGATAGCTGATACTCTAGTGTTTTGGCTTGAATGCATAGTATAGAATATATTATAATAAGCTCTCATAACCCAAGGTACTGGGTTTGGGAGGAAAAGCAGCTGAGATTTACAATACTCGGGAACAAATCTCATGGATAATCATCCATCCCCCATGGCATTATCTTACCGTTGAGAGACAGTGGTTTTCCTTCGTAAATGATCTCTCTGGCAACCTGAATTCAATCATTACATCTTTGCAATGGTTTTGAAATAAGATCTTCCTCCCTACTTTTTATGTGGGAGTAGTAGAATAAATGCACTTGAGAAGATGGTGATAGTATGCACGTATGTCTTTCAGCTGCTTTAAAAATAAAAGTACATTGAGAAGAGGATTCCTCCATAATACTTCAGTATGACCATACAGGCTTTTGCTGTAACATTTTAAATTGTTAATAGATAATAGATTTCAATACTAAGACAATAATTGATTGATCTTGCCTTAAAGTAAATCTTGCTAAATTAAAAGGCACTGTAAGGAATAAAAGCAAGAGAGACTAGGAAAATGGGAATCTAATCTTAGAGACATCAAAAAGCCAAAGAGCGTTAAAGAGCTGTTTCTGCTGTCTCCTCACACACATGTACATAGTACTTACTCCCTCTTTACCCTCCTTCCTCCAAATTCAAGCCTTCCAAGAGGCTTCAGAAGAGTCACAGACCAGTTTTTTCCCCTTCTGTCAAACCATTACCCCTGCAGATCTTAAAATTTAAAAATATCCAAATGCTTTTACATAAAGAGAAAAAAGTGCATGTATTGGGTATGTCACATGTAGAATCAGGCTAAACAGTTCGAAAAAAGTTACAAGCTACCTGCATTTTATGACATAGTATACTAACTTTTTTCTCTCTACAGCCCTTAACCTCAGCCCAAAGTTTCACAGGAAGCCAAAGTTTGATCTCTGTTTAAAATGGAAAGTGGGAAGAACTTTTCTTTAATCTAAGCATTAATTTTAGCAATAGGCATGAAAAACAACCTTTTAAGTATTTTGCATATTCAGTACTAATTACATCTTAATTTATTAAAGATTTGTAATTTGACTCAATTCCAGGTAGCTGCAGTGCAAGTGATGCACAGATTGCTAAGAAGCAGAAGCATATTTGCTGTGAAAGGGAGTGGAAGCACGCCCGTGATCAGGAAACACAGGGTATATGCTACCAAGCATCAGTACGACATCTCATTGGTACCAGATATTATCTCCTGGTCCTTCTTATATGATCCCAGACTGCTTTTGGGTATGGCACTAGACAGAAGGAACCATTTTATTTGTACATTAATTATCTCAAAATACAAGAAAGTTAAATTCAAGGATGTGTGTCCTCCCCCCACGTCTGTTGCAGGCAGCCCATATCTGGCCTACAAGAAGGCATTTGTCATCCTCTGGCTCCTAAAGAGAGGTCATACTCCATGCTAAAACATTTTTCTAAATGACTTTGCCCAGTGGATCCAGTGCTGCAAAACTAGGGAGGGTGGAAGGGAGGGGGAAGTACTGCTTCATACCACCATCGCTTTTCTTCCTTCCTCATTCCCACATTTTAATTCTTAAAGAACATAGGTTTTCTAGTTTACTTCATTTTTTCCACAGCATTTTTTAAATATTCTGTGCCACAAAAGGAATGAAATTGTTTCTAAGTGCTTCAAGAGAACTTCTGAAATATTCACGTCAGAAGGTATACATTTGTCACACGTATTTTTTCTCTGCAAGTTGGAACAAGCTCTGGAAGTCTCCTTTGTGAAGCACATGATCCTGTCAACGCAGCAGCTCACACCTGCTCCAGGTACCCTGGTGAACCCCTTACTACAGGGGCAAGTCTTTGAAGAAGGTGTTCTGCAGGTATGCAAATGTGGGGGAATCAAATCACTTGCTGCTTCCAAGGACCCAACTGTATTTTAAGGAAATATAGGAGACAGTTCTTCCCTACAACATTCTTACACTCATAGTCATGTTACCTCTAACGTATATCGTACCCATTTTTATGTCGTCTTTGCAATTCAGTCACATGCATCAATCTTGCTGTTAATTGCTTATGCTACCTCAAAGTGCAAGGTGCTACCTCAAACATCTTAGATTCCCTTTCTGATTTCATCACTGAGCTCTAATTTTGAGCACTCAAAATTGGAAATTTAAGCATTAGTTATAGTGCATGTCCATTACAAAACTTTCATTTGAGGCGTAGAGCAGAGACAGCTAACAGCATCCATAGCAGAGTTCAGTGCAACCTGCTACTGCAAACCAGATGTCCTTCCAGCCACACAAAGCCATCCTTAGCATTTGGCATAGCTGTTCTTGTTACGTGTAAGGAAGATCCTCTGTGTAATCTTTAGTCCCTTACCTACTCGCAAGAGAAGATTGAGCATTGTCTAGCCCACAATACTGCACAAGTGTACATTGTGTCTTCCCTTAAACTAAAACCGTAACAGCACTTCTTTGGAAGGAGGCAAAGAGAGTCTGTTTGGAGGAGTGGAGAGGTTGTGTCAATTCCACCAATTTGATCC